ATCTGTGAGGGATATGTTTTTTGCCAGTTCCCTCGCTGATCCCTCACAGATCAGCGAGGGATCAGCGAGGGAATATGCAAAAATCATTTTCCCTCGCTGATCCCTCGCTGATCAGTGAGGGATCAGCGAGGGATTTGTCCTATTTTCTTAATTTTTTTTTCGGGGCTTAACCCATTTAACTGGGATTTGTTCGGTTGTATTGGACCTTAATCTATTTACCGGGATATATTGAGTTTATCGGGATATATATATATATATATACATACTGATTTCATACAAAAAGTGGGTCAGCATTTGCGACGGATAGGATCCGTCGCTGATTTTTTTTACATTTACCTAGGTTACAGCACACTTTTTACAGATCGAGATCGAGAGAGAAAGAGGCGATAACTTTTTACAGATCGAGAGAGAGAGAAAGAGGTTGGTAATATATTATTTAGTTCGAGTGTTGGTAATATCAGGCTTAGTAATCATTATTAACTTATTCAGTTCTAAAATCTTTAGAATTGCATTGACTAAATGATGATTTTGGTCTGCAGACTTTTAGCTGCATCAATGAGAGCTCAATAATTTTAGTGGATGTCCTGTTTGGTATTATGGTTAATATAATCAGGATGAAGCAGTCATCTCGCACAAACAGGTAATCCATTTGTAAATTCCGTTTCTCCATAAGATGCATAAATTCTTAACATCATTGGTAACTGGATAAGACTCTGGAGTTTTCTTGATTGTTAACTGTATTGTTGTTATTTATTTCTCCATCTTTAAAGCTTAAATTCACAAACATGTATTTAATTGTATGCTGAAAAAAATATTGAGCCTGCTGCTAGTTCAAAGTGTAGATTATATAAAATAACTCCTCATTAACCTTCTTTGGGAGACGCCTTCAAACCTGTAGTTCAATGGAAGAATTGTTGTTTTTATGTGAAATGGGTATAGACGACCGCTCTCGATCAAATCCTGTATGTATTGTTCTAGCACTCATCTTAATTTTAAATGTAATTTATTTCCAGCACATCTTATAACTAGTATCAGTGATACAATATTTCATTACGCCCTATTTTAAATATGACATTGGATGAGAGATTGTAATTTTACATTATGAGTGGGTTGATTTATCTTTCCTCTCTTTCTCCACATTCTTATCAATAACTAATTGAATGTGAACTGTGCACAATCTTGGGAATATTAGTGTTTCATGTATGTGATTCCTTGATGYTGTTTTAATGACTTGTGRTTGTGGTATAGGAGTATYTCACGCTTTTCAGTTTCCCGTTATGAAATAAGAGAACTTATGTGMAGCCATGGATCCTTTGTTCTGCCATGATTCTTTGTTTAACTGTTGGGAAGATCAAGGAAGACACYRRCGCTCTGATCCTTCTTTGTTTTGGACAGTCTGTTATGCATATGGATGGCCATATATGTGTTTAGGCCTATTAAAGGTATCGTCATCTCCATCGGTGTATCTGTCCTAGCTGCTGCTTGGTTCGAATAATTTTTCTTTGATGTTCTTAGGTTTTGATCTTCGATTTGATATGGTTACTTTTGTGTAATTGATGATCTAGATCTTTTTTTTTTGATGTTTTGCAGGGGAATTTACATTACATTTAATTAGGATTGATCCAAAATGGATGTTTAAAGCCCCAACATTACCTCCAAAAATCTCATCAGGTTCTTTTTTCCACTCCCARGGTAGTTGAATTTGAAGTCAATTTGGATTGAACATTGAGAAATTTGAGCTTATCTTTGAATATTAAATGATGGCATTGATCAATGTTATGGCACTTATATGGCATTGAGCCTAGTTCCAAGACTAATATGTTTAGTATAGGCTTCATCACAATTCTGTTGGAGCACCTATGGTATAATATATATACAAATGAATCACAAAGCTCCAACCACCTTCAATAATTTTACCTATACTAACATGCCTCCCATCATAAACCAAAACATATACATACAGAAATTCCCATCTTGTACTAAAAAAAACAATAATGAAAGAAAATAAAACCAATAACTTTAACTAAAGACATAAGATTGAACATCTGATGTTGATCAACTTTGTAATGCTTTATAACCTGTATGAAATGTTTGCTAAGACAAATGGAAGGAAACGAAAGTTGAGTTTCTTCACATACTGTTTCTCCTGTGCAGCCAGTTGGATACACCCGATATGGTGTATTGATTGGGGAGGTTCTATTTGGTTTCTGGGTTTTGAAGATCACTCAATTTGGGAATTGGGTTTCAGACTCACTTTCTTGTTTCTGATGAATGTTGATATTTACTATAATTTGGTCAAAGGGTTTTGAAGATTAATCGATTTGGGAATTAGGTTTCAGATGTGGGTTTTAAATTTCTCTCTCATTTTCAGCTTTCTGATGAAATTTCACTGTGTTTTCCTCTGTATTTTTTTGGTTTCTTCCCAGAATATAAATCAATTTGGGATCTTGATTTCAATTTTCTGAACTTATGTTTGTTCTTCATTCTCTCTTWTTTCTGGGTATCAAATTTGTCCGTCATAATTTCGTAAGTTATTCTTTAGGTTGTTATTTCTTCATTGAAGTTCCTGTTTTAGTTTCCTAGTTTTTCAGTTCCTGTTATTTCTGCATTGAGGTTCCTGTTATTTCCTAGTTTGTTGCAATGTGTTATGATATGGTTTTCTATTTGGGTTTACCTCCAAAATTCACAACTAAATTTAGGTCCACAACCATTTTCACAACTAAATTTAGTTTTTACCTCCAAAATTCACAGTAAGTCTCACATGGATTTGGGTTTTCAACAGGACCAATGCATTGGAGATGGTGGTCAAGAAAATCTTGTGTCAAAGTGATGCAGCAGAGTTTCTTGTTGCTTTTGCTGGAATTCAAGAAAGTGTACACCAGTTTTCCAAAGACTATAAATTGAGGAAAGGCCCAGTTTCTGTATCATTGAGTTCAAGTTCAGAGATTGTGGGGGTTGATAGCAGCCATTCAATAAGTAAGTTCCTTTGAAAGTAGTTACTCAATAATACACAAATATAACTACTCAAATGAGCAATTTAATAGCATATGGAATCTTGTAAGACCTTTTAACAGTAAAAAACAATGTCTCATAACACAACCCAACTATGGCACATGATATATCACAAGAAATTTGTGTTCGATGTTTAATGTGTATGAGATCTTTGTCGACTTTAAGCATCAAATACTCCATTTTGTATTGAGTATATACTGATTTCGAAGAATATTGAATATTTACAGGTAACGGAGTTGAGAGATAAGTTGTCAAGGGTAGAAGAGGAACTCGAGACCGAATGGAAGAAGAGGGCAGATTTGGAGGCCAGACAAGCTGCCTCGGCAGCTGAACAGGCCAGACAAGTAGTTGTCAGGATACGTTTTCCCACCTCCCCCAAATCCCAATAGTTAGATTGTATGTATTCGAAGATTAAATTATATGAATTGAATATTTTAAATTGCATGAATTGAATATTTTAAATTGTATGAATCCATATTTCAAATCATATGAATTGGTTAATTTTGTTCACAGATTTGGTTTGTTATATATTATTATTTTCAGGTTCTTTAAAAATAAATACAGGATTTATGTATTTTAAAAAAAATTATTTTTTAATTTTTTACAAATTAGCGACGGATTAGCGAGGGAAAATCCGTCGCTGAAAGTGTTTGAATTTCCCTCGCAAATCCGTCGCTGAA